GTGGCCGAATCCTCGGTGGCCGACGTTGGTGTGGGTAGTTGTGTGGACGTGTGTGGAGGTTTGAGGAGTTGTGAGGAGTTGTGAGGTGGTGTGAGGAGTTGTGTGGAGGTGTGTGGAGGTGTGGGGAGATGTGGGGAGATGTGGGGAGGTGTGTGGAGGTGTGGGAAGATGTGAGGAGGTGTGGGGAGGTGTGGGGAGGTGTGGGGAGATGTGGGGAGGTGTGGGGAGGTGTGGGGAGGTGTGGGGAGATGTGTTGAGGTGTGTAGCCCCCACCCCGAGTCCGTGAACCGTGATCCGTGAACCGACTCCTTCCTCCCTCTCGGAGCTAGTGGACACGACACTAGCTAGTGATACGAGAATACGTACCGCCCCCACGCAACTACTCGACGATAATACGAGAATACGCAGCTGCGGGGCACCTATAAAGAAACAGCGAGGTAAAGTTCGGCGGCTATGAAAAACCGAAAGTTGTTGTAAAACGCGGGCGAAAGCAAAGCAGAGGGCGGGTGCTTTTTGCCGCAGCGATGCCCGCAGCCTGTCGAGCAGCTTCCGCGGCGCCCATGCGCCGCGGGGTTGACCGACAGCCGCGCCTCTCGAGCCACCCGTGCCACGCCCGGCGACGCGGACCCTGCGCGCCAGTCGGCGCACTGGCAGTACTGCACCAGCCAGCACGGCGTGGAGCAATGCATCCAGGGCATTGTGTTGGGCGCCAGCCAGCATGCCTCAGCACAGAGCAAGAGGGCATGCTTCGCACCCTGGCGCAGCACCAACTCGCCCCCAATCAGGCAATCTCACCACTGCACAGCCGCCCACGAGCGCCCGCAGCTGCACTGCTCAACGCTCAAGCTCAGGAGCCTCCCCTTGTTGTCGCAGCTTTGTGCAGTGCAGCGTGCGAGCAGCGCAGCGCCAGGCCGACCCGTGGCACGCCCGGGCGGCTGTGGGACGGAGGCCCGCCGAGCGAGTGCGAGCCGCATCGGCGGCCATGTCTCCCGCCGCCGCGAGCGGGTGGCGCAAAGAGGCAGCTTCGCGCGCGAGCACTTGGAGCACTTGGAGTGCGGTCGGTAACCTCACATCCAGGGCCGAGGAGCTAAGAAGCGCACCCAGCGGGCCGGATGATCGGTGTCGGGTTGCGGGCAAGAGAGCCCTAGCCCCGGGGGTGCGCGTTCGCAGGGAAAGGGCCTTAAAGTAAACACGCGTCCGAGAGTTGGCTCCGCGCTCCGGGTTTCCCCTAGCAGCAGACCCCCCCTCTACTCCCTATAATAAACACCAGACACGAACACGACACGTACTGGGCCGGAGAATACTTTTTTGCGACTATAGCAGAGGTGCCTAGGCCCCCATCCATGCTCTTCCCGCAGAGCGCCGCTCCCTCGCTGGTCCTCTCCCTCGCCCTCCTGTCCGCGCCGGCGACGCCTCCGCCAGACCTCGCACAGCCTCCTCTCCTCGCCTCGGCTCCTCTCTCGCGCGCTGCGCCGCGGCCAGCGGTGGCGGTGGCCTCTCTTCTCGTTGCCGCCGACGTATTCTCCGCAACCCGTTGGATGCGGGCCCTGCCCTTTGGAGCTCTCCCGCTATGGCTCCCTCCATGTCGCTTTTGTTACACC